TTTCTGTATCTCTTGCAGAGAAGAACGTGCACTTATTCTTCCCTAAAAATATAATATTCCTAAGAACACAATATTACTTCCCCACTCAGGCAGGAATAAGGAATCTGTACTCCCCGTTTACTAGATAAGTTGTTAAGCTATACCAATCAAAGCAGTTCTTACAATGGTATCATTGTAATTCTCCACTCTGCTGGGATAGCTAGTTCCTTTTATCCTTTAAAAAGACGCTATTTTTGCAGTTCAAAAATTACCCAAAGCAAGCAGTTTGACTATTTTAAATTTATTTAATCTATAAACATTAGGATGCGTTGACAGAAAAATTCTTTTTGAACTTCTGAAGGTTATTTTGGTCATCATTTTGTAACTTCAGTAAAGCAGAAATAAATACTAAAGTTGTAGTTGCGTAAATGCCAAGCCTAGCAACCAGAGAGCTTCAAGTGGTCCTCTCTGAAAATCTAAGGTTGTGAAATAGCTGCAAAACAAAGATGTTGCTTTAAATATCTCTAACATTGATTTTAAATACTGGCATACTTGTTTCCTTCTTTTGGTACTCATAACCTAGTCATCAGTCTGTGTATCAGGAGAGGGACCTGGAATTTGTGTTGAAAAACTTTCTTCAAGTATGAATAGGGTTAGCTGACAATTTCTATACTATTCATCCATTCTTCAAAAGTAACATTTTTGCAGGAAGTGTCTGAATTCTTTGTTTTAGCAGGGACTAATTAAATTTCTCCAGTTCATGGAAATAAAGAAAAGGTTCAGAAAAGGTTCAGATATGCCATGCAATTATTACTCGTGAGGCATTGCTACATACCTATCAGATCAATTCACACATCTTCCAGAAAAGAAGCTTTTTAAAGGCTTTGTACTGGTGGCTGTGGCAATACTTGGCAGTTATGAAGGAACTCCGTTGCTGTTCTATAAATTGTTCTGTGGTTCAGCCTTAGAAACCCATGTTTTGCTACTTCTTCCCCTTTTTCACTCATATCATGTAGGTTTTGTACGTTCTGGCAACAGCAGAAAACTTGTATCGAACAACCTTAAGTGAAAACCAACAGGAATCCACTACCCATGACCTTTTTACTTACTAGACCAACATTTTCCCGTTTGCAGGCAGAGTGCCCAGAGACTTTGCTTTAAGCAGCTAACAGCAGTTCCTCACAACCATTCTTTAAGAAAACACTCAGTCTACGTGCCACCCTACATGGGTGTCCATTCTAGCAGGCGTTCCTAATAGCAATCTTATCATAACTGGGAAGGAAACTAACTTGTTTATTAGCTGTTCCGTCGTGTGGGATAGCTGTCACAGTTCTGTAAGTAAAAAAGTTTCTTCCTGGTGAGTTTTTGGCAGTCTTCAGCTACTGTTAAGTAATATAAATGGTATTTTTCTCAATAACAAGAGGAAAATAAAAGACAAAATGTGGCTAAAATGAGCAAGAAACTGTGCTCTTAAAGTAACGGGACATATCCAGAAAAGAAGAATGAAGAACCATTTCTCCACACTGAAAACGCAGAAATTTTGGGTAAAGTTACCTAATGGGGAATGTTGGCATAAGTGGCTAAGATCCCTTCAATTCTATGTTTGAAATATGCATTTGAGAATCTTTACGCATGTTAAGAGTTCATATATATATTTACATTTGTGTATATATGTATATACATACATGTTCTTTTTTTTGCTAGTGAAAATAATGGAAGCATGGGCTTTTCAGCTTCAGTCTTTTGAAGTATGCACTTGGTGCAGCTACTTGAGACTGCATTTGATCTCATTACTTGAGGCTTTATGTGCAGACTCTGGAAGGCATGGCATGAGTGGTAAGCACCCTCTGAAATACGCAGGAAGTACGGGAACTCAGAATTTCACACTAATAGTTCCTTAGTCCAATTTTTGTAACACAAAACTCTCAGTAAATGGCTTTCATGATCATAAAGCAGTTAGCTACTGCCTATGAAAAGTGAAAAATATTTTTGTCTTCCGCCCTCAGTCCTGAAGGAACTGGTGAATGAAGTTGCTAAGCCACTGTGCATCATATTTGAGAAGATGTGGCAGTCCAGTGAAGTTCCCACTGACTGGAAAAGGGGAGACATAATCCCTGTTTTCAAAAAGGGAAAAAAAGGAAGACCCTGGGAACTATAGGCCGGTCAGTCTCACCTCTGTGCCTGGCAAGATCATGGAGCAGATCCTCCTGGAAACTCTGCTAAAGCACATGGAAAATAAGGAGGTGATTGGTGACAGCCAACATGGCTTCAATAAGGGCAAATTGTGCCCGACAATTTTGGTGGCCTTCTACAACGGTGTTACAGTGTTGGTGGATAAGGGAAAAGCAACTGACATAATCTGCCTGGACTTGTGCAAAGGATTTGACATTGTCCCGCAGGACATCCTGGTCTCTCAATTGGAGAAACATGGATTTGACAGATGGACCACTTAGTGGATAAGGAATTGGCTAGATCACCACACTCAAAGAGTTGCAGTCAACAGCTCAATGTCCAAGTGGAAACCAGTGACGAGTGGTGTTCCTCAGGGGTCGGTACTAGGACTGGTGCTGTTTAACATCTTTGTTGGTGACTTGGACAATGGGATTGAGTGCACCCTCAGCAAGTTTGCTGAAAGACACCAAGCTGTGTGGTGGGATGATGGTTTTAAACTGAAAGAGGGTAGATTTAGATTAAATAGGAGGAATAAATTCTTTACTCTGAGGGTGGCGAGACACTGGCACAGGTTGCCCAGGGAAGTTGTGGATGGCCTATCCCTGGCGGTGTTCAAGGCCAGGTTGGATGAGGCTTTGAGCAACCTGGTCTAGTGGGAGGTGTCCCTGCCAATGGCAGGGGGATTGGACCCGATGACTTCTAAGGTCCCTTCGAACTTTAACTGTTCTGTGATTCTATTAATCTTAATTTCTGAAGTTATAAATGGGAAATAAAGTACATTTGAGGAGGTTATTTCTGTTTTTTTCAAAGTAATTCTCCTTCTCTTTTCTTGTATTAATGTCACACTTTGGTGCTTACAGAGATAATGACACTGGGCATATGCACAAGAATATTTTTTCCTCTGTAATGGAAACCACATGAGTATCCTCAGAATTTTGCCACTTTATAAATAGTGCCATTCTTTAGCATACTGAATTATTCAGATTGTGTAAGAGATTTCCAAGTACCTAAATTACATTATGGAAAAGAGAAAGGTAAGTGGTCTAGAATCATCATAAATGGACATTGAACTGTAGGTCTACAGGTCAAATCTAATGCATTTATTCAAATTTCATATGAATTTGATACTGCACAATGGTACAGGCCTGCCAGCAAGTTACCAAAAAAATGCTTACATACAAAATGTCCTGGCAAAGTAAAACACTACCTTTTTCTGGTGGGTGGGTTTTGTTTAAAAATTTAACTTGAAATAAAAGCTGCTGATTCAGGTGGGCTGCCACCAAGCATGTGGATATTTGTGTTTGGTTCAGACACAGGGTTATTTTTAACAATGTAAACCACTACTGGTTTGTGGTCCAGATTTTCCTCCTATTTAAATAGATGTCTATTTTTAGAATATTCTGGGGCTCTGCATAGGTGCAGAAGGCAACACTTCTGTTCACAGCTTGAAAAGCACAACCCATAATAAGCATTTAGTGATTCTGCTCTGGTGTGTCCCCGCCTGTTCATAAGTAGGGTTGTGAACATACTCATAGAAGTGTTCAGGGCTAGTCATTCTGGATTTTCTATTCTTAAATAATTTGCAAGGTGTTTTCAAGGTGTTTTCAAGTAAACAGAAGCATCTCTTCTGTTTCTGAATGAAAATGTCTATGTGTGAGCTTCCAGCATGGAACATCTCCCATTATCTGTAGAGCAGTAACACACAGCATATTTAGAGTGATAAAATTTCTTACACAAAGCCCATAATCTTCTTCATCAAAGTCTGGGCTGCCTTTTTGGTCATTACAAATTGCTGCATTTTTCAAAAGATGGATGCTGATGCACAATTGCTGATCTAGCAGAGTATCACATGTCTGCAATAACTTAGAAGTAACAGTCACCGGGAAGTATAGCCAACTTTTGAAAGCTACAGCTGATCTTCATGAGCAGTACTTACACCATTTAATAAACAATGAAGTTTAAATGTCATGCTCTGGGAGGAACTGCTTTAATAATCCAAACAGAAGTGAGCATAAAATAGCAACATCTGCTTAAGAGTATAGATTCCCAGTAGTTTTTACCCTCATAGCTTACTTACATAGTAGCAGATAAGGGATAGGTGCTCTGTCCTGGATACTAAGTGAAGAAGCTAGGGTGGAGGGAGAGTGTTCCTGCTGCAACTGATTTCTACTGTTGTTTCATTACCTTGCTAGATCTCCTTTTTGTGTTGTTTTTGCTTTCCACAATTGTATTTCACTTTTGCTTGCGCTTTTTATTAAAACTCACAAAAGATACTTTGCATAATTCTCTAGAGCTCTTCACTGTTGCATCAGCTAGAATGATCCACGCTTCATTAGTAAAGCTTGCAGGGAAAAGAAATATTTGGGTTTAGAATTACCATGCTCGTGATAACGGTGGTGGTAGTGAGAAATTGGATGTTGGTCATCCCTCCAAGAGCTCCTCTCCTGAGCCCTTCTTTGGCTTGCGTTTGGAAATACACTTTACCACCATGAAGCCTACAGCCTGTGTTTTGTTATTGTGCGTGTTTTTTGATTTAAAATGAAAGCTTGGACAGCGATCAGGCTGAGCATCCAGTACCTTTGTTTCAGACTGAACAACTCCTGACCCTTGACACAGGGAGAACCAGAGAATTGCTTGGTTTTATATATATATATATAAACATATATAAACAAAGATACATAAAAAGGCAATAAAAATACATAATTTATTAATACCAGAAAAAAAAAACAGAAAACCTGAGTGATTCTATTTCTTATAAAAAACCAACAGAAGTATTTTGTCTAAGTGGTTTAATGGTAACTCTGCCATTTTCATACTACATATAAAATTTATCCTATGCACAGTTTTACACACTTTGTTTAATTAACAGTCTGTATTAAAGTCACATAGGTAAAACTGCGTAAGACAGACCGCAGTAGATGGTAGATGATCAGTAAGTCCACATCTTTCTTCTTGATGTCCAGTATTTCAATCCAATTGCTGCAGAGAAGCAATAAACGCTGCATCTAGCATTAATGATGAACTGGTAAATACATGAAAAGCCATTATGGACTACAGACAAGTGTAAAACATTACAGAGAAAAAAGAAATAAAACCTCATGTAGTAGTACAAAATGTTAAGATTAAATCTTGCCTGAAAAACAGTAGTTGATTAATTCGTATGTACAAAGTCCTTAAATAACATCCAATTGAAGTCTCTGTAGTTGTCGTTGTGTTAAATATATTCAAAAATTCTCCCTCCTTTTTTACAAAACACGCTTTCTGTTTTTTCATGGCTTGAACATTCATCATCTTTGTCAGCATCACAGACCATTTGGTAAACGTAACAACTGAACCTCCTGTTAGGCTTCTGTTCTATATGTAATACAAGGTCTTTGTCAAAGTAAACTTCATGACTGTAAGTCTGAAATGAGAAAAAAAATATTCTGATTGCTGCCTCTATTTCTGCAGCTTGCTAATACCCGTACCATTTTCCTTGGGGAACAAAAAATATTTAACATTGGTGACCTCCGTGATCAGACAGGAATTTTGTGTGAATACACACAGACTGCTCTTCCACATAAAGGACAGACTTCTAAAACTTTGAGAGTTTCCCACATGCCTATTTTAGGAATCTAAGTGCAATTCAGAGAATCTGATTGAAGATCCTAAGTTGCCTATGCAGTCAATGATAAATTAGGTGCCAAAGTTCTGAGTATTTCAGACCATCTAAGTTGCATGTCCACCTAAACTTGAGCAGCCCATTCCATCTCTCCAAATATATGCACAGTGAGGTCCATGCTTAATTCTATGCACAAGTAGTTCAAGTTAAGATAGTGAGAGCATTTACAAGTTGTAAAGTTAAGCTGCTGCAACTAGACAGAGGGCGAGTATTAAGGTTGATAAATACTTCAGAAATACCTAAGGACAGCCCCTCCCCCTACCAAAAACCCATCAAATCAACCAAAAAAAAATCTTATCTAAAAATATCTGTGATTTGAAATTAAATTAACTACTGTCTGATGGAATTTTTGAGTTACGCTTATTATTTTGTACAAATCTCATCCATAGCACTTGGCGACATTTATCTGCTTCAAATCTGAACAAAAATGGTAGGTAAATGGGTATGGGGAAGTATTAGAGTAAACAAAAGACGGGAATTGTCCTTACCACATCCCAGGACTCCAGTAATGGAATACTCTTCAGTAGAATGCCATGGTCATTACAGTGAAAGTCAAGGTGTGCTTTTCCATCAGCTCCTATTTCAGTGACTGCCACAGCGGATAACAAATCCAATTCATCTTCATAATCCACAATTTTGAATGTCTTAGGAAAAACAAAACCTCAAGTTTCTAAATCAAACATAAATTCACATTCCCCTCTACCTAAACTGCATAGCTATCTTTCTTTCAGGTGAAAGCAGAAGTGGAAAAATTCCAGTACTTAAGTCTTCTGGTCTGAAAAAGAGAACTTTGCCAGCCTGAGAGCCAAACAGGCATCTTTCCCAAGACAAGCTGTCCAATGTACTTCAGCAAAATTCCTTAAGATAGGAAAGAAGTGATGTTCTGAACAATCCTAATGTGCAAGTAGATGTATTTTATATATATCATACAGAAAATAGAAAAAAGTATTTTGAAAGTGACAGAAGAAACACATTTAAACACCACGCCCTCTTGAAGCAGATGTGTTAGAGACAGTATAGCTTCAAACCATAACAGGTTTTGAGAGGATGGGTATATTAGGGTAATTCCATTCACAAGAACACCCGTATGTTCTGTTCAGAGCTTACTCTCACTCCACAGACTATGTTACAGTGAAGAACTGAGACCAAAGGTAAAGGATTGTGAACTGCTTTAATTGCTTCTGTCTCACTGTCATTAACCTGGTAACATACTCTTTAAATTCAAGAGTCTTTCTCTTCCATAATGGAAAAATATCTACTGGAATTACAAATGCAGTGTAACAGTGGTAGAAAAAAATAGTGTGCAGACTCTAATTTTTATTACCTTAAAAAAGTGGATAGAAATGAACTGCAGACCTTAAGGGTTATATTGGACTGTCCCGTATTTTTACCATAGTAAAATTTATTTTCTCAGAAAGAGTAGAAATGACTCCCAGAAACTGATGAATTTTAACTGTTGTGCTTATGTCAATTACAGCTCCAGCTCTAGATAGAGAGCTAAAAAATATTCTTCATAACCTCTTGAAAACTCAACAGCAAGGCATGTGGTGTTTTCACTCTCAAGAAGCAGTTACTTAAATGAAAAGTGCTAAATACCTTATCCTGCAATCTAATCGAAGTAATTGGGAGAGAAAAATATAGTTTAGAGATACTATATCAAAGACTAGAGAAACCTAAAGCAGAGAAAAAAGAAATATGTATCTTTCAGTTCATCAAACGCTTTATATGAAACGTTTAAAGGAGATGTTTGAATGGATAGAAGAGTAATGGTTTGTCACATTAACATCTAATTTCTGTGCGACAGAAGTTGCATCGAGTTATGATGCTATCGTGGGGCATAAGATCAGTTCTTAAAACAAAGAGACTATCCAAAGCACAAATGTCCACCAAGGAGAAAAGACAACAGACAGAGAGTGGAATTAAGTAATTAAGAAGACAAAGCCACAGAAGAGGAATAAAGAACTCAAAGATTAACACAGCTAATGGTTACAGCCACTGCACTTGAAACAATAATGACTTCTGGCTAGCTAAACATCTTAAATAATCCATGAACTGCTTTTATGTACTACATCAGTTACCTCTTGTTCTGGGTCATCATCCAGCAAGTTAAAACGCTTTTTTACCACTCGACCAGAAGCTGTTACAGTAACGGCATCGTTCACCTTTGGAGAAAAAGAAAAAAGGGGCTCTAGACTTCAGAGCATTTTAGTTTCTTCCTATCTATTTGACAATGTACGTATTTTGCTTTCTGACCTTGTTTTAATCTCTTGGATCTTGTTTTACTCATTAGCTATGTGTGGTCCTAGTGCTGCTATCTCTTCTTTGTGAGGGCTCGTGAACTCAGTGGCTTTAGTTGAGGTATTACTGATGTTTACTCATATTCAGAGGTTCTCAGTCCTGTAGAAGTGGCAAAGGTCCTCAGCTACCATAATTTTTAGAACAGAAGTGACTGGAGCCAAGATGCCAGAATGAGAATTAAAGACAGCTAAGTCACCACCTGTTTGTTTCTTAAACTCCTGCTCCCAGAAGATGGGGACAGTAGCAGCTTAAACCTACACTGCTGCTTCCACTGGGCATCATTAAAACCAGAAACATTCAAAACTGGGGTACCAGTGTGTTAATGGAAGTCAAAAGGAAAAGGCACAGCACAGACAGGATTAGAACTCATGTTTCTTTGCTTTAATTGCAACAGAAGTTATGTAAACAAATCCTAAAAAAAAAAAGTATGGCAAGTCATTAAATGACAAAGCTTATCCTTTCTGAATTCAATGGAAATTTTATTCCTGAGTTAGTGTAGATTTCATACACAAACTTTTCTCCTGCAGAAGCTTCAAAATTAGTGTCACTGATTTCCAGGGACTTTACAGTACTCAAACTATAAAAACTTGCTTTTATGCAAGATATAACCTTGTATGCTGAAGCAAAATGACAGTTCCAGGTACTGCCAAAAAATTGTCTTCACAAGTGTGCTCTTTGACCTTTTTGACATTCAGATTGTCTTTGTGATTTTCTGCAACAGAAGATTTCATGAAATAACCAATGTGGTTTAACAGCTCATTTCTACCAAGAGGTTTAGCTTATCCCCTTGCCACTTGCTTCTACCTTTCTGCACTCTTCTGACCCACTGGTGATTCAGTTCTGTTCTGTTCCAGCTCCAGTTCAGCTCACCAAGCAAGCAGAAAGGTACTCACTTAGTCTATTATTTCAGGGCACTGATTTGGCTCACCAAGGGTTAGATGAATGCCAGACCTGTCACAAGGGAGTGACAGATGTGCATAGCCAAGAAAAGAAACAGACTTTTGGAAGCAATATATTGTCTTTCTTTGTTGTCTTATGAAGACTTACTCCTAAGTTACGAGACTGGAAACATTTCTAGCATTTGTATGATCAACTTACCTGAGCACCAGAGATGCACACAATTATCATTTGCTGGCACCTTCTTTTGAAGGAAATCTGTCACCATCTTTTAATTATGTTTTATATCAGTGATACATGGTTACACTGCACACCATAAAGAATACTGAAAACTACAGAAAAGACTGGAGGTTTCAGAAAGCTATCCTACTGTTTTCAATTTTTTTTTCATATGGTATGAAGTCCAATGAAGACACAGAATGTCTTTCAATAAACTTTGAATTAAGCCCATAAAACACAGTGATTACTCACATACGCAAAACCTCTGTGTATTGCTCAAAATCATGCATTGTGATCTCGGACACTAAACTCACACAGTTTTCTCTGTTGGCCACAACTGTAAAATCTTCTACAATCTCCATTTGATCTGTGTTATTTTTAACTTCCTTAAACTTCAAGACTCTACAAAAGAAACAGAAAGTACAAAATAGGTCACATATTCTAATCCACACTTCTATATTTATACACTTCTATTTACCACCTCTATATTTATAATTTCAAAAATCAAGTATATTAAAACATCAGAAATAACTGAAATTTAAATAAATCATCTTTGATTTATGTTTATCGGTGACATTTTAACACAGTGGTCCTTGAGCACTTTTCATATCAGAATCTAGTGTTGCTTGCCAGCACCCACATTCATCACGTAGAAGTCTGAAGATGTTTCTACCAGAACTTCTGATTCTGACAAATTACTAAATTTTACAGTTTCTAGGACTTGATGAGTGTTTTGACCTGCAAATTTTCAAATTACTGAACTTATGCAGTTATGCAACTTCTCCTCTAATGAAAATAAGATTTGAGAAAAAAAGGCTCATACTTTATCAAATTTGGTCCCACGTGGATTATTCTACCTGACATATCTGGATGAAAATATATCCAGTCAGGTTCCAGTGAACAGCATTTCATATCCTGTATGCCATTTTTTGCCTGAATAAGGAAGGGAAAGCTTAGAATATTAGTATTTTGAAAGTCTCACAGATCTAATTAAAGAGGAAATACTGAGCTCCTCTCCACATACCTCTGAAGGTTTTTAAGTATTGCTCCTAATCATGACCAGAACAATGGCAGTGGAACAATAATAATAATAAAAAAAGACTCAGTTCCAATTTTCAAGATATTTCATGGAACAGTTCCAACTCTTAATACGCAATAAGCAATGGCCCTGTACCACAGCTATACATGGTCCTACCTCTCCTGAAACTAAGCAAAATGAAGATTTAGCCTACACTGCAAACAGTTCAACAATTCCAGCAATTTGAGCTTCAAAGATGTGAGATGGGTCAAGACACGAGAAAAGCATTAGCACAAACTTTGACCTGAGCTTCAAACCTCAGGCTCAGCCTCTTTTGTGCAAATATTTGTGGAGTGTGTAAGCCTGGGATAGCTTGTGATTTCAGCTGCAAGCTGGTCAAAATCTTGGGATTTTGGCAGTGGCTTTTTGGTGTTAAATTTAGCTGACTCTGATCATTCAAATTTTCAACTGTATGAACCCACATAGCAAAAACTAAGTGAGAAAGGATTGTACAAATCCCTTTGAATCAAAATTGATCTTCAGCTATGGTTGTGAAAGATCAGTTTTGAAAATAAGGGACAGAAGGGGGATCATTGATTTGATGAGGCTAGTAAAAGAGATGAGGACATTTACAGATGAGAATTTTTTTAGTGAAGAACCCTGAACTAACAGACCTAGAAGCTGCTTGTATTACAAAAGTATCTTCAGGTCAAATCCAGATCCAAAATAAAATCTGAGATGGAGAACTCACCCAGAAGAATATATGATGAGTAGTACATAAACAAAAGTAATTATGAATGCTGTATTAAACTGAGTAATCTTTCTAGGGAGAGAGAGGGATTAAACTGAATAATAAAATCCTAGGGACAGAGAGAGAAATCAGGGATAAACTATAAACATTAAGAAAACTTATTCCGCAATTTCTTAAAACTTAAAATGTTTCTTTAGTCATGCCATTTGGTAGGCTGACTAGTCAGAAGTGCATGAGGATGTTACCCATGCAAGGAATCAGGTAATGACATTCTGCTTGAGTTTTAACTTTTAAGCCGAGAATACCGTGCTGTGTAGCAGACAGTGCTGCAATTATATTGGAATGAAGGAAATATCAGAAGCAGTACTAAGTCAGAAGAAAACACGTTACACTGGATAGCAGATGTGACACTGTGGGGTGATCCCTGTGTGAGCACCACACTGGAAAACAAGGGTATTGTTACCTCGAGCACTACTCAGAAGAAGAGATGAAGACAAACGTGATACACATTCATTTCAGAGAAGCTGCTATCTGAATATATTACCAAAGCATTGTCTTTCAGGGAACAAATATGGAAGACTCCTTTATGTTTTTTCTTGTTAGGTGTGATGATATAATGCCAAGGGTAACCTCCAATTTGAAATGCATTCTCCAGAGAAGATGCTTCAAATAGCAAAGGTGGGGTATCTGCAAATATTGTGTAATGTTAACATCATTAGTAGCAGAACAATCATAATTCCATTGATCCTTACAATTCTAAATTCCAATACAGCTATTAATTCTTCAGAACTTTTGAAGACTGGTAGAAAGATATTGGCTGTGATCTCTTTTCTGGCACCAGCTATGCTGCCTCACCTGCATCCAGGCACACATCTGCAATTCCCTGTGGAAGGTTACTGCCTTCTCAGATTTTCATGCTGAACTGCTCCTCTGATACTTCTGACTTACTTCACTCCAGATGAGCTGGATAAGCAAAGACGTAGCCAACAATTAAAATTAATCCAGCTCATCTGAATGACAGAGGACGTACACATGAGCAAATCAAAGAGCATATCAAAAGGGTCATTATTCTCTTGGGAAAAATAGTGATAAATAGCTGGAAACAGGCTAACAAATAACAGAATTAAATGCAGAAAGATACCTGAATCTGAATATTCCTTCTTCTTTTGCATAATACAACAGAAGAGTGTGGACCACAATGAATACAATCTGTATCTGAGTTCATAAAAATAAATACAAATCTAGGAATTTTTGTAACTAATGGCAAAAGGTAACTAATTTTCCCTTCAGTTCAGTCGGGATAAATTATACAGATGGAATATGTCATTCTTACAAGTCTTCTGTGTACTAAATGCGAAAAACATCTTTGACCGAAATGGACTGCAAGGAGCTTTACAAATTCTAGCAAGTACCTAAATAAAAGCAATTTTTACAGCTGCTATAACTGAATCAATTTTAGACTGAAGATCAGCTCTTTCTAACAGTACAGAAAAGCACTGGGGAAAAAAAAACTGAGAAAATGTGGAGCAAATCTGCAATTACAAGGGGCATTTAAACAGGCAGAATATAAAACCCCAAACTGAATTACTGTGAGGAGAATGAGGTTCTCATCTGAACTTTTGTCTCAAAGGTATCATCCAAATTCTGACTTGTTCTTGTCCTGCTTAGTCTAGATAATTACCCAGATCCTAGCCAATGATGCTAAAATGTCACAAGACAACAGAAATGATGTTTACATACTGCTTCTCTCTCTTTCCTTCATTCACATTTCCACCAACTTAGCCATTTAGATTGAAAGAAATTAGTTCACTGCCCATGGAAATTAAGTATTTTCTAAGCTGGAGAGTAGCTGTCTTCTACTTGTCTTTGGACTGACGCATAGAAAATGGGAGATTCTGTGCAAGATATAGCAAAGTATAGGTTATAAAAACCGAGGCATCTGCTGAAAATGTAGAGAACGTTGAAGATGGAGGCGTAAACAGAGGACCTACTGATACTAAACTCTGCCAGAAAAATAATTAATTGATTAGTCAAGAAAATTTGTTAACATTTTACCCTATTGACTTCTTTTTAAATAAAGCATATATAGCAAGGCCCCTCAAAAATTCTGGTAGATGGACTAAACGATAGATTCAAATTGTGTTTTAAAACTATCTCAATCCTAAGCAGTACAGGGTGCTGATAAAATACGCCTTTCTTTTTACCTTCATTTGGCAAAGATTTGCAAGATTGTAGCCACCTAGACCACTGTGATAGCGTGACTCTGCTCCATCAACTCTCCCTTTCCTGCTACGTGTCGCTTACTCTTGTTGCTCAACACCTCCTGTTCTCATTGTTTCCAAGTCCCTTCCCTAGCATTGCCAGTTTTCAAACTCCAGTTAAGCTTCTTTGTTCATTTCCTTAAAACTCTCTCAAAAGCCTCATCTAAACATAAAGCCATAAAGTTGTTCCTGGCAGCACTAATAAGTATTTGTTCCATGTGTGAAAAAAAAATAAAATCTCAGCGAAGTATCTTCCTCTCTGTTTTTTTTAATGAAATTACTGTATCGTCTAATAATAAATCAAACTGCAGTTTTAAGTTCTGGACCTTTCAGAAAGTGACATAATGAAGCTTTATAGGTACTTTTCCATTTCTTCCACTGTGACCAAAATCAAATTCCTTACCAGTCAATAACTGTAAATGATGTGGTAGGTACATGGTAGCCTATAAGTTTTGATCTCTACACACTTCCTCTTGGGTACGTGAAACCGTACATACACACCCTAAAACCAGCACCATAATAACTACTGTCCCTTCAGACAATTTCTCTAGGGAGGCTAGGACAAAATAAGCAGGAAAATTACACATAGTTTAGTATAGTAAATACAGGCTTAAACTCTGAAACTGTTAAAATCTTGCCCACGGAAGCATTATATTACATTGAGCAGTCAGTGGGCCATCTCAGCCTTAAAAGAAAACAGCTCAAAAACCACAGGAATGCAACTCTGCAAAGAGCAGCCATGGCAAATGTCTGTCATGAGTTCAAAACTTCCTAACCACAAATTCTTGAATATGATTCAAGATCAAAAGTGTTTTCTCCAGTACATTGGTTTTAAATCTCAAAACTGAAAACTACAATGAACTCTACGACATCAGAACAAATCTGGTACAGGCTTCCTATTAAATCCCCCACAGCATGTTATCCACAGGGCCCCTAACATTAAATTGTGCATTTGTAGACTGAGATAGAGAGGAAAATGAGCAGAAATTTCCCTTCGCAGAACCTGAGACATCAATTATAGCAGCCTATCACTTTGGTTTGATAAAACATTGTGATATAACTGAAAGCCTGCATTATGTAAGTCTGTATTTTATCTTTGTGTATTTCCTCAGGTTTATGTAAGTCTGATTTGGTTTGCCTGTTATTATCTGACACTGTTTGCAAACATAAAGATCAAAAGCATTTCTTATGTGGACAGTCACCTGTAAAACCCATTTAATATAGAAACATTCAAAATTAAAGAAATAAAAGTATCCATTATTTGATATTGGTGAAACCTGCTATTTTGTTTTGGAAGTGCCTCAAGTGTGAACTTGTGAGAATGTATTTTTAAATTAAAAAAAAAGTTTCAAAGAAAGTCTCAGGCTTTGGTCAGTCATCAAGATTCTTAGCACCATATTCTAATCTCAAATGCACCAACAGAAATGATTGATTGGTTTCAAAGAAATTAAAGTCATTGCATAAAGCAGAACATTCATAAGTTAATGATTTGAGGCAGAAGAATTGTTTTTAATAGATAATTTTTTCTCTTCTCGGGAATTAATTTTATTGAAACTGGCACATTTCTGACAACTTAGAACTATCAAAATGCAACTTGATCAAATTGCATGCTGTCTCCTTGAATTCCCCCTGCAAGTCAGATGAAACGTTCTCACATCTTTTGCTTACATGCTGTATACTGTTTCTGGGTGTTCCTAACAGCTGTCCTAGCCCTTCCTTTTTCCCAAGAGCAGTTGTCTCTCAGAAATAGGGAAGGGGTTTTCACTTCATGCATTGCTTATGAAGTTTTGCAAATAGCTTAGCTGCTGTACTAGTTTTCTAGGTATGTCCTGTATTATTAAGTCTTGTAATTAGAAGTAAAGCAAAGCACATTTTTACTATAACGTAAACCCAGAAATATAGCTACAGCACAATATGAGTACAGAAATTTTAATGTTTTTTCTTAGTGTGAAATAAGTCATAATTAATCCATAAAAGCCACCAGTCAAGATAATACAAAGATCATAAATACCTGTTATTTTAATGTTACATGGAAGACCAAACGGATACTTTCCTACAACTCCCACTTGTCCATTCCAGTTGAATTCATGTCCCAAATCAAACGGCTGTTCCATGAACTAAAGTAACACAGAACAATTTAACTTTATTGATGTGTATTTACTTGCTGTTTAGCATTACTGCTCTGTTACTCCTGCATTCTTTATCTTGTTAGATACTGCTTGAAGTCTTATTTTTTAATTAACGTTTGGTTTGAAGAATATAAACTCAAAAGTCTCACTGCAGTTCTGTTTTAGATTAAACAATCTTCTATGCCCATCAGTTTGTAGCCTTAACACTCACCTATAACTACAGACTAGGTGTGTAAAGAAGAGCACACCCTGGTCTAGCATTTACAGATTTCCTGTCTATATGTGCTTAAGTGCCTGTGTGACCCTGTATCTCTTATGTTGTGCCACCTGTAACTGGTGTGGGTAGAATTTTCTGATAGTGGATCCATTTGCAGCTTCCAAGCGTAAATAGATTTAGACAAGAACTCTATCCTTTGACACATTCTGCATGTACCTATGTGGCATTACATGAATATTTATGATTTCTTGCCCCAAAATAGCATGGACTGTATGAAAAATTTTGTATTTCATTACCTGTTCACAGATGGCCTGGAAGTTATAGAGCCTGACCAGCCCCATGCTATACATCACAATCAGGATTCCATTAGAAACAGCAACATCTGTCACACTATTACCAAATATCTGGAAAAAAATGAGAAGAAAAATATTCTATTAGGGAAGAAATAATTGAGAGACAATGCAAAATACTGACATTATGTCCTTAATTTTGCAATCACTTTAATTTTTAATTCTGACCAAATCCTACGATCAGTGTTTTAGCTCATGAAGTTTTCTGTAACTCATCTGTTCTGCTGAGTTTCTATATACTTTGCACTGCAGTAACACCTGAGGTTAGATTAGTCATATACTGCAAGCAGATTCATTCTCTAATCAATTCTCAGTGTATCTTCATACCATGTTACCCAGTCATTATAACACATGAATAGATTGCATTACCCAGCATCTCACAGGAATGTTAGCAAAGCTAACAACTCAATCTAAAAGTACTGATTTCACATCTTCTGTTCTTTCTTCATCACCAGGATAAAATACTAGTCTAATCATGGCTCTATGACTGTGTACAGCTGTACTAAAACTACATTATCCAGCTGTCACAGAGTACAAGATCCTCTCTGCATCCAAATTAGACACATACAGGAGAAGCTGATATACCCCTTCTAACAATTATGCAGTAGTCATTTGTGCCACTGCTTAACCCAATCTCCACTGAGAAAAACCCAATAAACTACTTCTTAGTATTTAATGAATAACAACATGTGAGGTTCATAATTTTTTATAAATAGAGATGCTTGGAAATGTAGCTTTTATTTCTTTAATCTGAACCACTATGTGAAAAAGCAATTAAAGCAGGGTTAAAACAGGTTTAAAAACAATTAAAAAAAAAAAAAAGAAACCCAAAAGCTGTAATATTCCTAAATCTTAACAGTATCAATGATCTTGTGATGAGTTTGGTCCTGAAAGATACACTCACTCTTGAGACCTTGTCTTTTATTTAGTCTTATGGCTCTTTCTCAATACATTTGTTAGCTTAGGTCCCTGTGTGTTCCAGACCCAAACTCTAAAATAATCTTCCAACCCTGAAATTTCCTTTCTATCCTTGAGACCTTAGCTAGTCTGAACCATCTTGGTAAAGCAGATGCATTAGGTGCATTCTGCAGTCTTGAACAGTAACCCTAATCCTAACTCTGATCTAACAGTTACATTCCACTGATCTGTATCAGGTTTGGCATTGCGTTCACTGGTTGCTTCCTCTGCTGGGTGTATTCTCAAATCCAAAATTCTGCCCTGACATTACTCCTAGCTGTAACAATTAGTCTGATCGAGTACTCAGTACAGGTCCAACTGAAGCTGTATTCTTTTAGACATTTTCCCTACTTAGGACCATAATAATCTAGCATGCCATTCTTAACTGGATTGAGAATACCATTGGTATTGGTAACAACTGTTTTTTTCCAGTCCTAAATACTAATTTTGAATAGAATAATACACAGTTCCCCTAAATCTTCATGGGCCCAAATGAAAAATGTTTAACCCCACTCCTTCCCTTGCCAGCCTAATCTCAATTACAACCTCAACCCAACCCAGCACCAGCTAAAATCCACTAATAGCTCTTGACCCGAAATGCGATGGTAGCTCACAGAGCTTTGGAGACAGAGTTTGCGTATTTGTACTGTTCCATTTATAAGTTGTATCCAGAGCTCTCTGGATTTAAACTAGACATGTTTTCTCACAAGAACAGTAAAACTTGCCATCTGGCTTGAGGTTTCCTAATACATACACTCGTACTCACAGGTCACAAACTGACCTCAGAAAGGTTGTTTGCTCTTGACTGATAGAGCAAGACACATATTTACATTTTGCCATTCAATATCAACGATAATACAAGTTTGAAACATTTGTAACTGCATATAGAATTCATAGGCTATTATTAGGAGTGGGTCAGAATCACATCTGTCTTTCTTTGAAGAGGTGAAAAAAAGTCTACAAACACTTCAGGATTCCCTAATTGTTATCGTTGCTCTAAGTAAAGGCTAAAGTCCTTCTACATGTCAAAGAGTAACCCAATAGCAGAATGCATCTGTACTTTCTATTCTAGTCATTCAAATTAAGAATCTTCCCCCCAGTGCTCTGATCAGACACAAGGATATTACTGCTAATTTATGTTTCAGGGCACTATGCCTTTATAAGCACCAAGTATGACTTCTAAAATTCTGGGACAATTGCCTAAACCACGCCTCTCATACAACTACAGTAGAGATCATGATTAATAGAGGAATTAACTTACCTTTTTGTTTATTTCTAGCATTCCAACGAACGAAAGAGGCAAAACTTGGAAAACAGCAAGATAGAACAAGACAGACTGTTGGATACCTGCCTGGGAAGGAATAACAATACTGAATATAGTTATTACATGTGAGTCATTTTATTAATGGTAGGACATCTTCATCTTCTACCACAATAACAAAGCATAATGTCTTCATCTCTGTCCTTGTAAATTTTTTTTGATCAATTTTGTAAAAATTAAAGAATGACAGATTTTTTCAACAAACTTACCTGTCGCGCTGCTGCAGGGAGCTTATTCTGAGATGACTTTACAACCATTACCTCTTGAGGAGTATCCCAGCTCAAATACCTATTTGTGACAATAAAACCCTAGCTTAATAATTTAAAAATAATTTAATAATAAATACATTATTTCACATAAAATGTAATCCACTATAACTACGCAGATCCCTGTGTCCAGGCAAACTGTTCAATATCTGGTTCGGGAGAGGTACCCGAGTTGTTTGCTGTTTGCAATAATGCAAAACCCACAGAACTAGGAAAGGATCTTCCATACAAGATTGTGAGAGAAAATCTCAAAGTATGAACATTCACTATTTTAATTTTTCTCCTTCCCTTCACGAATCACCACTTTCTTAGCCTTCAGCCTAAAGGAAATAATTTCTTCTGAGAACTGAAAAAAAGATGCAGTTTACCAGAAGCAGTAACTGCTCTGCTTTTAAAGAGCAAAATGGCTACCCTATGGAGAAGAATGCTTGCAATTCAAAAATGGCTTAAACTTTAAATGTATTTTTCTTATGTTTTATGAAGTTTCTTTTACAGCTTTTAAATGTCCTCTCATGGTATGTTGCTATTGCAATATTAAACTCTGTAAAATTGACACAGAAAAGTCAATAGTAGCTTAGTTTTTGTGGCTTTTGCGGAATTTGATACCAAATTTGAGACTGTAATACTTAAGCTGCTGAAATTCTTCTATAGAAAACAGCACGCAGGAACAGTACTCCAGGTAATATGCTAGACTAACAAACCTGAAGTCAGCCATAGGATAGTACTAAAATAAACATGATTCCCTTCCTCCACTATAGTACTAATGATTGTTAATTATATAAAGCCTATTCAATGTTTAATACCTGAATTTGCAACAGGAACCAGCAAGGTATATTTTTTCCAGAATTTCTCCACTATCAGCAGAGAGACGTAGAAGCCAGTTCTGCACTGTCAAGACTATCAGGGAAGATTTATAGTCTGATGGACTTGGTAGCATTTCCCCCTACATAACAAAAGGTTATCAGAAAAAAGTTTGTACCAGGAGGATACATAACATTTTGGCACAGTAACAAGAAAACAAAAGTTAATACACATTCCTCAAAAACTGACGATGGAAAGCTGCCTGCTAATCGTATCAGGATTTCTAAGCTCATGTCTATGCTAAATAGTCATCTGACCATCACATAAATAATCTGTTGTCACACTTTTTGCAATGCAGTTACCTTTTCTAGAAAAGACACCTTTTAAACCTTCCTCACTTTGCAAAAATGAAGTGTAACTGCTTATTGATCTAATTGACAGCAGTCTTGAAGAGAAAATTGTTTAAGTGTTGCAGAACAAGACATTCAGTGGTAATTGAACAGTAACTGCTTCGAATGGTATTCCCACTGCTTTATTTTTAGGCACCTCAAGGAGGGGGCTAATATTCCTAAGCTCTGGATGAGAGAAAAACTCCTCAAGGAGGAGGGAAGTTATATAATCTATTAGCTAGAATCAGCAGAACAGCTTTTGAGTAGGGTTGCTTTAATGGGTCTGCAGTTTATCTGATTTCTTTTTTATGTCAACAGATCCAGTAAAAATTAAAACTCCCACCTATTACCCTTGCTAATTAAAAAACGAAGAAAAAATTAAACAGAATTTATGTGGTAAGGAATTAGAGTTAGTTGCAAAAGCATAAAGGCACTGTTTTTAAAAACTTTCACAAAAGCTCACAAAAAAGCGTATGAACGTGGTATTGAGAAAATTAGAGAAGTACACCTCTAGACATTTAGTCAAAATAAATAAGCACATGTTGCAAACCTTAAATGACCTAGCTCCATAAAACCACTGAGAAAACAGGACACAGGGAAAGAACACTCTGTTCTAAATATATTTCACCAAATATATTGGTTTTTTGCATAACAATGCTGCATTAAAAGGTAATCTTACCAGCGGGCATTCCAATAATAAGGCATCTTCTATTTTTTCTGACTTAGAACACTTTGGCTTTTGATAAAGTATTCTTGGCTCTTGTGCAATGCTGAAGAAAAATAATTGCTACTCATTAGTCTACTTTATAAACTACTTTCTATCAACAAGTCATTTCATACAGTTTTATAAATCCTGCCTTCTCTTTAGGCAGGTCAGAAATCTAAATATCTTATTTTTACTTTGTAACTATAACCTGAAATTGCTCTCAAAATAAGGCCTAATAAACAATAGTTTAATGTAACATTAAAAGCTAATCTTCTCTGTATTTTGTAGTTTGGTGTCGTGTTTTTTTAATTTGATTTTAAATAACAAAATAGTTAACATTCTTACTTTAGTGATATACATTACAAAGAAAGCATATTCCAGAAACTAAGGATCATCCTGCAACCTTCCCCTCAAGCTCTTCCAGTGTCACCTTTCATAATATAAAGGCGTGTCATCATGTACAGATATTTAAAAAAACCCCAACACCTACTACTAGAATAAATACTTTGCAGTGTGCACATTTTTCGCCTCAGGGAGAGGAAGAGACAAAGATAAACCTGAAAGATGTTAGACAGGTTAACCAAGTACTGGAAAGCAGACACTGTAGGAATAAAACACAGCTAAGTAGATTTAGATCTCTGCTGTAAGTGATAGATTAATTTAATTAACTGTCAGTGGTTTATGCTGACAGAGTAATTTATCTTTTATGTATCATATAACACTGTCTCAAAACTGTTCTGACCACAACTTACTCAGCAACGCAGTTCTCCAAGTCCCTGCTACTTCCCTCACAAGATGGGTGGGCAAGGACAAGGACTGGTGTACGAGGACTTCCCATCCTCTACCCTGCCCTGTGCTGCCTCCTAGGCTGTGCCTCTGCAGCTGATCACGGAACAGGACAGCACATCAGATCAGAGAACTGATCTGCAAAATACATCAATAAAAACCAGCAAGTACTCCACACGCTGTACTTTTACATGAATAATAATTTACTTCTTTAATGCAGAATTTATAGACATAGTACCAAGCTTGTTATATAGGCTGATTTCATGACACACTCTTTAGCGCACTGCTAGTTATCCGATCACAAAGAAGTACCGTTCATTTGGCTTTTTAGTGCAAAATTACAAAATGCTGATAATCTTTCACTCCTGTTAAAGTGCTCTGAAAGCTGAAGTTATACAGCACCAGTAAGACAGACTTTCCTTCACCAAAACCGGTGTCACATTGAGACACAACAGCATCTGAGTGTAATTTAAGAAAGATTTATGCACCTGGCTATTTTTTGTTCATAAGTTAATTCCACTCAATTCACAGAGGCTATTTGGATGAGTAAAGTTAGCAACATGTCTAAAACAGAATAACAGTGTTAAAACTGTAAGCCAGGGTAACTTAATTGTAAATTTATTACCTGCTAATACAGCACTGATAATTGTCTAAGTAAATTCTTCCTCTTTCATATGCAATAGGAGATGCAGAATGAGTTGTCCAAACATTCTTGAATTTAGTACTTTCCTGAAACAGACAGTGGTTGTAACAGTGATGGCTTTTGTAACAAACCTTGCTTTTGGAAAACAATTTATTTGGTTCCTGCAGCTTAATAACTTACTTTAATTGAATCTTTGCTGGTGAATATATAAAGGAAAATCTTATATTTTTTTAAACCAAATTAAAATACCTTTTCAAGGTAAATTTTGTCTTTTTAAAAAAACCAAAATGAAAGATCTTTTTATTAGCTATCATGGGTAATATGGGTAATGAATATCTTGTCATTAACTTGCTTGCATTAATATTAAAACTGGCAAGTAAACTTTAATGGCAATTTTTAAAATCAAGGACAAAACTTGCCAGAGTGTAAATATGCACATAACTGTTTTTTTACATAATTAACTGAATTTACTGAACATCTGACTCCATTCTGCTGTTGGTGTTTTGTGTGAAAGGTAGAAAAATGCATTCACAGTTATTTGCAAAAAGTGCCTGAAATGTTAATGGGATAAACCGCTCACATAAAGTTTCTGGAGTGTGTTAGAGGTCTATACCATTAAGAAAGGTTCTAGTCTTACCAAAAAAATAAGTACTTGGGTAAGTCAGATGTAGTAATTTTTATTTCAATAAACCTTGCATGCCCACTGATTTAGTGGGCACTTCAGCTGACTTCCAATAAATATATTTTCAATATAACACAACTGCCAATTAACCTCCACATATTCACTTTCAGTGCATTTCTATCAACTACTGCATGGGAGCAATAATACGTTTTGATAAAAAAAAAACCCACCACAATTCAATTTGGTCTATAATTCCTTACCTTAATGGTAGGTAAGGTAATTAAATTCCTTAATGACTACCTGAAGACCTCTGCCGAATTGGTGTGAAAACTTGATTCAAATTTAACATTGATGCTCCCTAAACCACTACGAATTTAATATCGGTATTAAATATTAAGCCATCTTAGGGGAAGAAGCGATATAAAATCTCCTAAGAGACTAATTTTAACATGATTATTAGATTTACAAGTTCTTCTGCTGTTTTTCCACAGCACAGTTCTCTCTGTATCTCTAGGTCTGAGCCTCAAGAAATAAATGGAAATACTGCTAAATCCCTTCAGCAG